TGAGAAGAGTGGGTGAGGGGCGGCCTGGGAAAGTCCCACACAAACCCTCTCACCTCACCACCTCATCTGGGTCCTCAGGTACGCAAGTATCTGCTCCGGCTGGATGTCCGGAAGGACCATGTGAAGTTCTGGCGGCCCCAGCTGCTGCTCCTGGTGGGGAACCCCCGGGGTGCCCTGCCACTGCTGCGCTTGGCTAACCAGCTCAAGAAGGGAGGTCTGTATGTGCTGGGCCACGTCACCCTGGGAGACCTTGGTGAGTTGCCATCCTACTTGCTTCCACCCTTCCTGTTCCCTCTATCTAGATGGGGGCACTGGGGAGAAAGCTTAGCAGCATAAGCCCTGTCTCCCTAAATGGGGCTTCTGCTTCTGAGCGGACACTTCAGCTAGCTGCAGGCCACCACCCCCCCTCCTGTGAGGCCTGGACTCTGGGAAACAGTAAATGAACTTGGCCCATAGTGCCCACTTTCTTTCCCTGCCTTCTCTGCAGACACACTGCCCTCAGACCCTGTGCAGCCGCAGTATGGGGCATGGCTAAGCCTGGTGGACCGGGCCCAAGTGAAGGCCTTCGTGGACCTCACATTGTCCCCCTCTGTGCGCCAGGGGGCACAGCATCTGCTGCGGATCTCGGGCCTTGGTGAGCTGCTGCTTCTTCCTTTGGTACACTCCTTGGCCCCTCTAAATCTATGCTGTCTTCCCTTAAATAAGCCACAGATAGCAAACTGCAAAAAGAGCTGACAATATAGTACAGATAAGATGGGGCTCAAAGATAACAGCCACAGAAAGCATGTGATAAGGTCTATAGAGCTGCCTTGGAGTGACCCGTGTTGTATATGTATTTCTCTCTCTCTCTCTCTCTCGCTCTCTCTCTCACCCACTGAACCAAAAGCTGGAGGATTGGCCTTGGGAGTCTATTTCTAGGGACAATGGGAGAATTATGTTCTTCTTGGGCTGCCCCATCCAAGCGCATGATTTCTCACCACCAGTTTAGAAAAAGCAAGACCACTAGGCATTGATGTGGCCAGCAAAGGTTTTGTGGAAAGAGATGGTAACTCAGCCAGGTCTGTGAGGATTTGTGCCATAGGAGGGACCTAACATGGTCTCGACACCGCAAAGCGTGCTAAAGGGTGTGTGGAGTTGACACTTATTCTTGTCTATTTGTTTTTATGGCACTGGGAGTTGAATTCAGGGCCTTTGCACTGAGCTATATATCTTCAGCCCTTTTAATTGTTTTTATTTTTGAGAAAGGGTCTTGCAAAGTCCCTAAGAAGCCCACGGTTGGGTTTAAAGGTGGGATTCTCCTGTCTCGGCCTTCCAGAATGGTGGGATCACAGGGCTGTGCCAGTGGCTCTCATGGAGCTGACACCTTTGGATGGGTGGGACATTTCCGGCTTTGTGACTCTCAGCCCTGGAGCCTCCAGCCTCATACCCCAGGCTCCACCAAGTCTGCACTCAGCCTCCTCCTCCTTCCTTAGTCCCAGGAGAGTGTCACCTGAATGCTCACCCTCTCCGTTTCGAGGCTGGCTAAAGTTCAACAGCACTGGACATTGCTCTGTTCAGTATGAATTCAAACCCTAAAAAACGTTTGGAGCAGGTGGGACTTGTTTAATTTGCAAAACCAGCTGGAATTCTGACCTGCTGGTAGGTTGGGGAGCGTTACTGAGTCTGCTCAGCCCCTGGTACATCTGAGGACCTGGTCTTTCTAGGTATCCCCCTGCACAAGGACCATTGTGTTTGGGAAATTAAAGCAAAACAGAAAGCATTTGCTCTGTGTAATAAATTCCTGGGGCAGGTAGGATTTGAACTGTGCTTCGATTTCGAGCAGTCTGTTTTATAAGAGGGCTCACAGTCTCACTCTAAGCTCAGCCTCATTGAAGGGAAGGAGGAATTACTTGATTTTATATTGATGATGCTTTTTCTTCTCTCTTTCTTTCTTTCTTTCTTTCTTTCTTTCTTTCTTTCTTTCTTTCTTTCTTTCTTTCTTTCTTTCTTTCTTTTTTTCTTTTTTCTCCACACACTGGGGATTGAATCCAGGGCCTAACATTTTTGACACAGGATCTTGCTAAGTTGCCCAGGTTGGGCTTGAACTTGCAATCCTCCTGCCTCAGCCTGTGAAGATGCTGGGATGACATAAGTGCACTCACGTGGCTCACATTGGTGGTTCAAAAATTAAAAACCACTTTGGACGTGGTAACACACACCTGTGATCCCAGTACTCTGGGAGGCTAAAGCATGCCCTGAGTTCAAGGCCAGCCAGGGCTACATAGTGAGTTCAAGGTCAGCCTGAATATAGTGAGATCCTGTCTCAACACAATAACAACAACAAAGAAATTAAAAATCAGAAGTTGCAGTCAGGGATTTGGGATGTTGAAGTTGGTGCACACTTAGCTTAGTGACTGAGAATGTTCTCTGGCGTGGGTGGGACTTGGCTCTTCTCTGCTAGGATGTATCAGTCTCCAGGCTTTGGGCCAGTGGCTTCACTGCGTGGGGCCTCAGGTTCCTTATCTGTAGAAGGGGAAAAGAAATAGCATCTATCTCATAGCATTGCTTCATAAGAGGCGAAACATGAGGTGTTGTTTAAAGCATGTGGCAAGCATGGGGATAGTCACTGTCCTGTCTTAGGGACCTCGCTGAGGACCACCATCCTCAGGGCTCTGCAGCAGTAGAAATGAACTGTTTTTTACCTCCTCCAGAGGGGTCTGGTATAGGGTTTCCCTCGTGATTGAACTTGTGAGTTTGAATGTTTAGATTGTCTGGCGGAATTAAACTCCTATTTCTCATTATGGAATAGGTGTGCTAATTGAGCACAGTGGTACATGCACACTTGTAATCTCAGCACTCTGGGAAGCAGAGGCAGGGGTATCTTAAGTTGAACCCAGCCTGGGCAATTCAGTGACTTAGTGAGGAAAAATGAAAAATGAGGGCCAGAGAGATAGCTCAGTGGAATAAGTGCCTGCCTGGCAAGTACAGGGTCCTGAGCTCAATCCCCAGTACCGCCAAAAGAAAAGAAAAGAAAAATGAAACAGCAGCAGAAATAGCTCAGTGAGAAGGTCCTGAGTTTAATCCCCAGTACTGCAAAAATGAAACAAAACAAACAGTGCTACTTAAATTTTGCATAGATAATAAGGTACTCTCCAAGCGCTGCAATTGCTCATTAGTTAAAGAATCATTAGGTGAACTTTGCCTATTTAATGAAGGAGATGCCTCATGGAGATAGTCAAATAAAGGCCTGTGAAAGTGTTAGGAAAACAAAGCCATGCAAAGGTGTGATGATGCCATAAGTCCCCCCCAGTGCAGTGGGGATGTCATTCCTTACAGCTGACACCCCTTGCAGTGAGTTCCAGTGAGTGCAGGTGGGCGTAAGTTAGCATGGTGTAACAAGGCCTGAGTCCTGTTTCTGTCCCCAGGTGGTATGAAGCCCAACACGTTGGTCCTGGGTTTCTATGATGATGCCCCCCCGCAGGACCATTTCCTGACTGATGCAGCTTTCATGGAGCCTGCGGATGGCACCCAAGAAGGGGGGTCCCCAGCTCTGAGTACCCTGTTCCCTCCACCCAGAGCTCCTGGGAGCCCCCGGGCGCTCAGCCCCCAGGACTATGTGGCCACTGTGGCAGATGCCCTCAAGATGAACAAGAATGTGGTTCTGGCCCGGGCCTGTGGGGCTCTGCCTCCAGAGCGACTGAGCCGGGGATCTGGAAGCGCCTCGCAGCTGCATCATGTGGACGTGTGGCCCCTCAACCTGCTGCGGCCTCGTGGTGGGCCTGGCTACGTGGATGTCTGTGGCCTCTTCCTGCTGCAGATGGCAACCATCTTAGGCATGGTGCCTGCCTGGCACAGTGCCCGGCTACGGATCTTCCTGTGCTTGGGGCCTCGGGAGGCACCAGGGGCCGCTGAAGGGCGGCTTCGGGCACTGTTGAGCCAATTGAGGATCCGGGCTGAGGTGCAGGAGGTGGTGTGGGGTGAGAGTGCGGGGGCTGGGGAGCAGGAAGAGGAGGAAGGGGACTTTGTGAACGGAGGGCGGGGTGATGTTGAGGCAGAGGCCCTGGCCTGCAGCGCCAATGCCCTAGTGCGGGCACAGCAGGGCCGAGGCACTGGGGGAGGACCTGGGGGGCCCGAGAGTAGGGATGGCAATGAGGGGCCCACCACAGCCCTTACCTTCCTCTACCTGCCCCGACCACCTGCCGATCCTGCCCGCTACCCCCGCTACCTGGCACTACTGGAGACTTTGAGCCGGGACCTGGGCCCCACACTGCTCATTCATGGTGTCACCCCGGTCACCTGCACTGACCTCTGAGGTTCCTTCTTCCATGGATGGGTAGAGAAGGCCCAGGCTCATCCTGATTAATGGACCATGGGCTCCCACTGGCCCTGCCCTTGTGATGCAGAGCTGGGAGGACTTTGTAAGGGGACCCTGGGGCGGGGCATCGCTGAGTCCTTTGGAAGAAGGGCTGGGGCACTCATCTGGGCTCTGTCCCCACTGCCCTTAGAGGATGCCTTCCGAAGTCCTTCCCCCTTCTGGCCTCTCGCTTCACTGGTGCCTTGACGGGAGGGGCTGGTCTCCTCCACGACTCTAGGCTACCTCAGTGTCCCCATCTTTGCCACAGATACACCAGCCTTCCTCTGGGGGGGCGGGGTGATTGTTTTGTTTTGTTTTATTTTTCTAACTCTGCTGACCGTGAATAAAAGACCAAAACACTATAGTCTGGCTTGAGTACTGCTGGCGGTAGGTGAGAGGAAGGCGGGTGGCAGGGAGAGGCCGGCACGGGGGTGGGGACTAGAAGTCTCTGGCAGGGAGGCTGCCACGTGCAGAGTTGGGGCGCCAGGCCTGGGGAGATCCTGGGACCTGGAGGCTGCTGGGGGCCTGTGGCTCCCACTCCAGCAGCCCCCAGCTCCCTGAGACTCAACTGGTAGGGACAGCCCTCTCCTACAGGAGGGGGCCGTCTCTGGGAGCAACAGCAGATTAGGGCCTAGGGGGCCACGTGACCCTCCCCCAGGAATGCGGTGACGTCATCGGGGGCGTGGCTGTCCCCAAAATTGGGGAGGAAGGGAAAAAAAGCTAGAAAAAGTTTCTACTTTCCTCGAGTCCCAAACGAGGTCTGGGACGGGAAGGAGGAGGGGGCGTCAAAGACACAGGCCCACGGCTTTGTGGGACCCTGACTCCTGTCAGGAGTCTCCCCATTCTAGGCCATGTCGGGGCCCACCTGGCTTCCTCCAAAGCAGCCAGAGCCTGCCAGGGCTCCTCAGGGGAGAGCACTCCCCCGAGGTGCCCCAGGGCCACCACCAGTCCACGGAACAGGTAAGGGAACCCCCATCCCACTGGCCGAGGAACCACCAGCCACAGCACTCACTGCTGTCCTCCACCTCCTGCCCCGGCCAGCTTGCTGCCTGCTGTCTGCTGCCTGCTGCCCCTTTGCTGAGCTGGCTGGGGACCCCACCTGAGTGCCCCCCACCCCAGTGCCCCATTCCCTGGTTCCCACATGCATGAGAGAAGGGGAGCGGCAGAGAGTGGCTCTGGGAGGGTGCCATCTTCTCCACCTTTGGTCTTTATTTTCACCTCAGCACTCCAGCCCCACCCTAGAGCCAGTTTTTGCCCCCTCCCATCTGAGCAGTGTTACCAGCCCCCTGGGGGACCGGAAGATCGGGGGCTGGCCTGGGTGGGGTCCCATGGACCACCCCAGCGTTCCCAGGTGAGAAGTGAGAACTGGGGTTGGGGATGCAACATGGGGTGGCCTGGAACCCAAAGGGGTGCAGGACTCAGGGCTGGAGGAGAGACACTGATCTATATGCTCCCTGCTTCTGTTCCATTCTCAGGGGCTCACTCCAGACCGGGGGTGCCTGCGCCCAGGAAGTCTGGATGCAGAAATAGATTCGCTGACCAGTATGCTGGCTGAGCTGGATGGGGGTCGTGGTCATGCGCCACGGCGGCCAGACCGACAGGTGACAGCCTGTCCTGTACTTCTCGCCCCCTACTCTGTATTCTCAGTCTGTTCCACCCCCTCCACTTCCACTTGCTGTGTCAGGGGTGTCCACACCAGTGTTGGAGAACAGGAGCATAGTGGAGGGTGGGACCTTGCCCAAATCCAGTACTTCCCTGAGGCCGTATGCGGCATGATCTTATGCAAACACAGGTGCCTCCATGGGTCCTGCTCATTGCCTCTGTGCTTCTTTTCCCAGGCTTATGAGCCCCCTCAGCTACCTGCCTATTGCCCAGGCTCCCTGAAGCCCAACGGAGGAGGGGGTGTTCCACCCCCTCTGCTCCCATCATCCCCCTATGGGGGCCCCACTCCAGCTTCCTATGCTACTGCCAGCACCCCAGCCGGCCCTGCCTTCCCTGTGCAAGTAAAGGTGGCCCAACCAGTGAGAGGCTGTGGGCCGCCCAGGCGGGGGGCCTTTCAGGCCTCAGGGCCTCTCCCAGGCTCCCACTTTCCTCTCCCAGGCCGAGGTGAAGTCTGGGGGGCTGGCTATCGGAACCCCCGTGAGCCAGGGACAGGGGGGAAAGAAGAGGCTGCAGGGGTCCCTGGCCCTGGAGGAGGAGGAAGAGGAGGCGGGCATGGACCCCAGGTAAGTCTAGAACATTGGGGTTTTCAGACAGAGTAAGCCCTGATGAGGTGGGGTGGGTCCTGGAGGGGGTATTTAAGCTCTTAGTGTAGAGCAGGCTCAGAGGGGGGTTAGGTTGTCCAGAGAGAAGGGGCTAGAGCTGCCCCCTGGCTTCTGGGCTGAGATATTTTCAGACAAGGACTGGTTCAGCCTCTGCAGCTAGACAGAAGTAATGTCGAACTTCAGTAGGAAAGATTTGAGCAGATCTCAGGCTCAACACTGCAGCCTCCTAGAGGAGGTGATCCTCACCTACAGGTTTCCCTGAGTCAGCCTCCAGAGGAAGAACTGGAGAGGCTGACTAAGAAGTTGGTGCACGACATGAACCACCCACCCAGCGGGGAATACTTTGGTGAGCTGCCTCCCTGGGTGGGATGAGAGCAGGGAGGGACAGCATATCTGCTGTTCAGGGTCTGTGTGGTTGATCCCATCCACTCCCTGTGCCCAGGCCGATGTGGTGGCTGTGGAGAAGATGTGGTTGGGGATGGAGCTGGGGTTGTGGCCCTGGACCGTGTCTTCCATGTTGGCTGCTTCGTGTGTTCCACATGCCAGACCCAGCTCCGGGGTCAGCACTTCTATGCTGTGGAGAGAAGAGCATACTGCGAAAGCTGCTATGTGGTGAGTGGCCGAGGCTGAGGGGCTGGAATCACCAGCAGGACACAGAGGGCGCCCATGGTGGGACCTGCTACTGAAGCCCAAAAGAGGGATGGCATTGGGGACTCAAACTGACGTGCAAATGAGGGAGGAATGAAGTGGACAAGTACTGGCTGTTTAGGGGAAAACAACAGTCTGAAGCGGAAGGCTTTTTTTGGTACTGGGAATCAAACGCAGGACCTTGTACCTGCCAGGCAGGCGTTATGCCACTGAGCTGTATCCCCAGCCCAAGTAGAAGGCTAAGAGTTACAGGAATGCGTGAAATTCCCACAGAAGCCCTGCGAGGCACAGATTACTACTGATTCATTTTATAGGATATGGAAGCTTAGAGAGATTAAATTCCTCAGCTAGGAAGCTGCAGTGTTGAGCCTCAGATCTGCTCAAATCTTTCCCACTGAATCATATGCAGAGGCTACACACATGCATGGCTGGGATGGTAGGTGGTTTCCCTGCTGCTGAAGCTTCCCTCTGACCTTCCTGCCCTCTTTACCAATAGGCCACCCTGGAAAAATGCTCCACATGCTCCCAACCCATCCTAGACCGGATCCTGCGGGCTATGGGGAAGGCCTACCACCCTGGCTGCTTCACGTGTGTGGTGTGCCACCGAGGCCTGGATGGCATCCCCTTCACCGTGGATGCAACCAGCCAGATCCACTGCATTGAGGACTTCCACAGGTCAGGCCCAGTGCCTGGCTGCTTCAGGATGTCTTGACCTCTCTCTCTGGCCCTCCTATGTTTAAATCCCTAGTCCTGCCTTTCTGATACCACTGTTTTCCCCAAGGCCCAAGAGCATACCTTGGTACCTCCTGTGGTCTCCTGCATCCCACTTCTCTGGGCTGCAAGCCTGGATCCTGACAGCCTCCTTGGTTTTCTTCCTCCCCAGGAAGTTTGCCCCACGATGCTCAGTGTGTGGTGGAGCCATCATGCCTGAGCCAGGTCAGGAGGAGACTGTGAGAATTGTTGCTCTGGATCGAAGTTTTCACATTGGCTGTTACAAGTGCGAGGTGAGGGAACCTGGGAAAGAGCAAGGGGCTCCAGGGCCTGGCGTGCTGGGTAGGGCATCAAGGGAAAGAGACCTGGGAGTCTGAGTTGATGAAAAGCTGTTCTTCCTGCCAACAGGAATGTGGGCTGCTGCTGTCCTCAGAAGGAGAATGTCAGGGCTGCTACCCACTGGATGGACACATCTTGTGCAAAGCCTGCAGTGCCTGGCGCATCCAAGAGCTCTCAGCCACTGTCACCACTGACTGCTAAGTCGTCTTACAAGCACCTGCTGTGATCTCAGTCCCCATCCATCACCTTCCCTGACATCTGCCTTTTCAACGTTGTCACCAAATGCTTTTTTTTTTTTGGTCTGCAATCATGAAATAATAGTCCCTCAAGAGTTTACAAAACACTTTCAAGTTTATTGTCTCATGTGGTCTCACAGAGCCCAATACAAGCTTGATTGTTGTTATTGCTTATTTTACACATGAGAATGCCAGAGCTGAGATGTGATTTCCCACGCTGCATGGTTGTCAAATGTTGGAAAAATCAAAACCTAGGTCTTCTTCGTTTTGGGGTGTGTGTGTGTGTGTTGAGGATTGAACGGAAGGCCTCATACGTGCTAGGCAAGCACAAGCTCTACCGCTGAGCTACACGTCAGTCTTGTATTTCTTTTGTATATGTAATTTGGTGCAGACACCCGTTAATCGGTGCCAGGAAAAGGCAGCATGCTCCAGAGAAGCAGCATTTCCCATCAAGCCTCATTCAACTCCACAGAGAGATTTGGTGTTATCCTGAGTAATGGCGGTGCATTTAATCTGTGGCAGGCCAGTCCACCTTGCAGCTCACGATTGTAACCCACCTACAGCTAATGCCATCAGAGGTCTGAGGTTAAGACAGATTTGTCCGTTTTGTATGAAGACAAGACACCTGTCCAAGAAGAGGAGGAACAAACGGTTTTGTAGATAACGCATACTGAGACACCAATAAAGACTGGTGAGAGGGGCCGGGGAGATGGCTCAGTAGAATTAAGCGCTTGCCTGGCAAGCACACAGGCCTGAGTTCAATCCTTGGTTTCACCAAAAAAAAAAAAAAAAAAAAGACTGGCGAGAGCAGAAAATGGTGGGAGCAGATTCTTTAAAATGGTTCCTTCTATTCTCTATTTCCCAAACGCTTGCTCTCCCCAAGCCCACGTTCTGCGCGGGGAGGAGGCAAAAACCACTTCCGAGCGGTCAGGCGGTTCCCCAAGCACAGAGTCCGTGCAAACCAACTGCTGGATGCAAACTGACTCAGACCCGCGAGACATCTGGAGGTGCGGGAAATTGTACCCGAGCAGGGCGCGCTTTCCCTTGGAGCCCCAAAGATGCCACCACCCTCCCGAGGCTCGGCTTGGTCCAAACGAGTTTCCGTAGTTCCTCTCGCTCGAAGTTCTCGTCCTGGAAAGCGCGCGAGACTTGTGTCGCCGCTCCTTCCCATCATCCCCTTGTTCGTCCCGCCCTGCCTTCTTGGCTTTATTTCCAGCTCGCGACGTGCGAGTGTGGGATTTCGTTTGTGGTTAGGATCCCTGCTCCTGTAGTGGTATCGACGCGCGTGAGGTTGGCGCGCGCTGCCCTTTGTTCTCAGTTGTCCCATTCTCTTCCTCTCTCTTTGGTCCCCTGGCTGAGAACCCCGTGTCTCCCTCTCGCGCGTCTGGGTCGCCTGGAAAACAAGCCCGCCCAAGCGCGCGACCAACGGCCGAGGCCGCTTCCAGGTGGGGGAGGGGTGGGGCTAGGGGAGGTGGCTAAAGCTGGAGGGACGTTACATTGCCCTGGGGTCGCGGGCTGTGCCGGGGTACCCTTGGGACGGGCGAAAGCGTCTGAGCTTCTGTCAGTTTGAGATGGCTGGAGCCGCGGAACGCCGGCCTAGGTGGGAGGCCGGTGAGCGTGCTGTCTCTGCGGGAACATCTCTTACCTTGTCCTCGTCCCACACCCTACCCAATCCTCCCCGGGTCCCAGGCCCCCTCGGACCACGCCATGGGTGACAGCGATGACGAGTACGATCGAAGGCGCAGGGACAAGTTTAGAAGAGAGCGCAGCGACTATGACCGATCTCGAGAAAGAGATGAAAGACGGCGAGGAGATGATTGGAATGACCGGTAATTCTGTCTTCCTGTTTGATTCCATTGCGTTTTACAAGTTACTATTTTTTTTTTTCGTTATAGTTTTATTAGGATGAACCTTACTGAAATGCTTTCCTGGACCGTTTTCTTTGGTTCTGCTTATCTGCTGTTGGCAAGGAACTAGCTGCGACTTAATTTTTGACAACCCCTCAAAAGCACAGCAGTAAAAAGAAAAAAAAAAAAAGCACAGCAGTAGAGCCCAGAGTTTGTATACGAAACATTATTTACCACTGGCACCAAAAGTGTGTGTCTTGCTTGTAAATTATACTTTAAAAAAGGTTAAAAAATTGATAATACACAATTGACCAGAGAGGTTGTAATAGTGGTTTCCTGGAAGGTAGAACTAGATACTCTTTCTTTCTTTCTCCTCTCCCTCTCCCTGTCCCTGTCCCTGTCCCTGTCCCTGTCCTTCATTTGTGGAAGCAGGGGTTGAACTCAGGCCTTTGTTTTTTTTTTGTTGTTGTTTTGGGTTTTTTTTGGTGGAACTGGGGATTGAACTCAGGTCCTTGTTCTTGCCAGGGAAATGCTTATTCCACTGAGCCATCTCCCGGGCCCCAAACTCAGGCCCTTGCGCTTGCCAGGCAAGCACTTACTCCACTGAGCCACCTCCCTGGCCCCAGGTAGAACTAGATAGATCAACAGATTGATAAGATTTTTTTTTTTTTTAGGTTGTCTTGAAACTGTAGATTTTTTTTTCTTTTTTTATTTATTTATGTGTGTGTGTGGGGGGAGGCAGCTCAGCCCACCAGGGGGGCGGGGCTGGCTGGCATGTGGTGCTGGGGGATTGAACCGCGGTCCCTGTGTTTTTGCTTAGCTTAGCTTGTACTAAGTAGGTGCTTTAGACCACTGAGCCATCTCACCAGCCCCCTGATAAGATATTTTTAATATTAAGTTTATTGATCTTTTGAGACAGGGTCTTCCCATGTAGCCCAGGTTGGCTTGAAACTTGTGATCCTCTTGCCTCAGCCTCCTGAGTGCTGGGATCACAGGCGTGCTGGGATTGCAGGGCATCAAAAATATTTTTGCTGGTGGTGCACGCCTGTAATTCCAACCACATGGGTGGTTTGAGACTGAAGGATCTCCAATTTCAGATCAGCTTAGGCAGCACAGGTCTGAACAAATAGGAAAGACAGACTTTCAGTGAGTAAATGCAGTGTCTCAATTTGTTTTTTTTGTTTTTTTTTTTGTATTTTAGGGAAGGGTCTACAGGGTGTTCAGGGTCTCACTACAGGATCGGACTCATAGTGATTGTCCTGTTTACAGCCTCCCAAGTGCTGGGGTTACAGGTGTGTGCCACCACCCCAGTCTCCCCCGAGAGCAGGGAAAATCGAAAGTGGGTCCCTGCAGGTGCTTTAATCAGCTTTAACCTGTTGAGCTGTTTGGCCAGCCCTAGTGTCTCAATTTGGAAACATTTTCCTAATAGTCTGAGGTAACTTTTTTTGATAAGAACCTAATTGTCATTGTTGGGAAAAAAATTAGTAAGTTGGTGAGCCTGACAGTCAGTGCATCTTCTAGTGGTGGAGGCTTTGTGGATTTCGTTTTTTTTTTTTTTTGCGGAACCAGGGATTGAACTCAGATCCTTGCGTTTGCCCGTGAAGTGCTTATCCTACTGAGCTATCTTACTGGCCCTGTGTGGACTTTGTTTTTATGGTCTTTTTGTCAGACAGGGTTTCACTATGTTGTTTATTTATTTATTTTTGCGGAACCGGGGATTGAACTCGGGCCCTTGTAGTTGCTAGGCCAGCGCTTACTCTACTGAGCTATCTCCCCGGCCCTAGGGTTTCACTATGGAGTTCAGGCTGGCCTTGAAATTACTTTGTAACCCAGGCTGGCCTCAAACTTGCAGTAATCCTGCCTCAGCCTCCCTCCCCAGGGCTGGGATTGCAGGAGTGTACCCCTACACCCAGCCTAAAACTTTGTTTTCTTTGGTATTTTCTAAGAAACAAGAAACTCAAAGTATTTTTCTGAATTCTGGGTAAGGTAAGATGTGGTTACCAGTACAGCAAAAAAAAAAAAATGATGGTGAAGGTGGTCGGTGCTGAGGAATATTGACGACAGGAGTAGTGCTTGCTGGAGGTGAGGTGTTAGGGAGAGTTCACAAAAGTGACACAAAGCTAGGCTTGGAAAGATGAGATTTGGATGATGTGAACAGCTTGAGGTCTTAGACAGGACACTGTACAAACAGGCTGTCTTTGAGTTTGGTCAGTGTAGTGGTTCTCAGCTTGTCTGCAGACCCTAAGGAGTTGTTGAGGTTAAAATTGATTTTTTTTAGGGCTTTTGTTTTTTACTATACATGAAAAGAATGCATATACAAACATTGGGACATGAGAAAGCTTTGGTTCAACGCTATTGAAATTTATAAGAATTAGGATTTGGGAAAGATTTATAAGATTAGGATTTTGTGAAAAATTACCTCAACATTTTTAAAAATTGGAAAGTGCAATGAAAACAAATTGATAAAGTTGCTGTTAACTCTTGAGCGTCTTCATAAGACTCCTTGCGTGATTTTTATTAAACTAGAAAGCCTCAAACCAGTTGCTGTAGGGTTCTTTATGTAGAAAACACAAAAAAGAGGGTTCTTTTAGCTGGTCCCCATGTTGGTAAGTGTTCCCACCCCTGCCCACCCATAGCTTCTTTTTTTGGGGAACCGGGGATTGAGCTCTGGCCTTCGCGTTTGCCAGGCCCCATAGTGTCTTGGTAAAGCAGGCCTGCATCATCACAACCTGGAGGAAGATAACAGGTATCCTGTCTTCTGCCTTGTAGACCCCACACATTTCCTCTGTCAGGTCTTGTGGAATCTAGGAACACTGAATTGCAAATCTGTGCTAAGCATATAAGACAATGACTGATAGAGGGAAAAAAAATTTAAGACTTAGTCTGTCTGGTGTATTTCAAAAAGTGTAATACTGGGCTGGAGAGATGGCTCAGTGGTCTAAAGCACCTACTTGGAACAAGCTCAGCAGAGCACAGGGACCGCGGTTCGATCCCCCAACCCCACATGCCAGCCAGCCGCGCCCCCTGGTGGGCTGAGCTGGCCACATACACACACACACACACACACACACACACACACACACACGTACACACAATAAATAAATGTAAAAAAAAATTAAAAAAAAATTGTAATACTTTTCTTCATCATCAGTGAAAGAAGTTAAAATTAACTTCCAAAAAAAAATTTAAAAAGCATTAAGTGGCAAACAAATTTCCTCAAAAGTCACAGTCACATATAGAATGCATCCTAGAAAAGAGGA